AAGAAAGATAAGTGCTGTGGATGAAATAATATGCTCTTTAATTTCCTTCAAACTTTTGACACACTCTCAAATTTCCATAAAGACACCCTTAAGTGTTGAGGGGTTGATTTAATAGCTAATTAACAATTTCTGTTTTTTATTTTTAGTTTTTATGTTTTCTAGTTACCCTTGAAAGATGACAGGATTAAGCAATCTGCTGAAGTGCTGTGAAATGTAAAAGTGAACTTGTAGGGGAGCGTTCCGCTTTTGAGGGAAGCACCCGCGCGAGCAGTGGTGGACGAAGCGGAAGCCAGAATGTTGACTTGAGTAACGCAAACATTGGTGAGAATCCAATGCCCCAAAAACCTATACCTACTAATTTGGTGAACTTGAGATGCATTTTTCCTCGAGCTCCTGAAAAAGATTGGAAAAGAAAAATCATATGTGTTTGATAACTGTTTTTTATTTCAAACCTATTTGATAACAATTTTTGGTTTTCTGTCAAAGAGTTGAAGAGATATTTTAGAGAGAGAAAAAACTATATAGGGTTGAGATGACAATGAGGTGAGACATGAGTTGGGATACCTCCTCAATTTCCACCTCACTATTAAAAAACTCGACAAAAAAACTGTCACAAATTGTTTGGGTGCAATTTTGGCGGAAAAAATGCTACTTTCCAAATTTTAAAAATTTTATGACAATTGAAAACAGTCATGTAAACTGATTATTTATTTATTTATTTAATTCAATGACAGTTAAAAATTGTAATGAAACGGTGGAGACACAATTTTGATAGGAAAAAACGCAAATTTATGGATTTTGTAAAATTTTGTGAGTTAATTTTTAAAATCTATAATTTTTTCTATTGGACGACAGTTAATTTTTTTGGATTTCATTACAATTAAAAAAACATGACACGTAATAAAAAAATTTGTCACAAATAGTTTTGGACATGTTTATTATTTAATTTTTTATTATTATTTATTTTTGCAAGAATTTAATACTTTATCTTACCTTTTGTTTGCCTCCAGAATGTCTAAGAAATCATTTTAAATTCAATGATTTAAAGTCTGGAGAAATAATTATAAATTATTTATCTTACAATGAAATAATTTGAAATGAATATAATCAAATTTAGTTGTTTGGATGTTTCGCTGGAAATAAAAATAAAATAAAAAATTTATTGAGTTAGGTTTTTTTATCATTTGAGTATTAAATATGTTGTATTTAGGGTGTCTTTTAAAAAGTTGTTGGTGGAAGAAGTACTCGAGTAGCCTAACACGATGTGTTGGATTCTATTAGATAAATTATTGGTTGGGTGGTTATTAGTTAGGAAAGTCAAGAACCAACCGGTTCGTTTGATTTGTCGGTGTTGATGTAAAATTTTGGTCTAAATTTCACCACATTCGCACCAATCTTCAGTAATGAAAAAGAAATTGACATCAATCTACAAAACAAAGATACCTGGATATTGGAGTGGTGTTAGCCACACAACTTGTGATGCCTAAGTTATAATCAGAAGGTTGATGATTGTCAAGAGTATAGTTTTTCAGTGTAGCTTGATTGTGAGATTTTTTCGATGCTCCCGATTTCTCCTCATCGCTCCATCTTCATTGGGGGTCGTCCACCCCTTCGTCTTTTAACAAAAATATGGATTCCACTCCTCGGCTCAACTTTTTCCTTCTAGGGACCATACAACCCCTATAGGATGTGAATATGGTTTAACGAAATAGCTTTATAAAAATTTTTAGTATTGTGGATCCGCTTTACTGTCGGCTGTGTGTTCTCAACCCACTTTTAGTATCGAAATGGGTTCCTTACAAGAAAGRATTACTTCTACCAAGGAAGGGTCCATAACGATTTGACCTATTATGCTCGTGCCACGGCATTTGCACCCAAGTTAAATAAATAAGTAAGATTTTTATAAATAATTAATTTTATCACAAATAAATTATAAACACATTTCAAGCATTATAATTAATTTTAATGTAAAGATGCATAATAAACATGAATAACAAATTTTTGACAATTAATTTCATGTAATTTATGATAAAAAAAATTAATTACAAAAATTAAATAGAAAAATATTTTACAGAGATAGGTTTAAAATCAAAATTCATTTGGGACCATTGGATCTTCAAATGTTTAAAATGAAGGGTGGAGATCTAATTGTAATATAATAATAATAATAATATATTAAAAAAATAAACCTCCATAAGTCCCGACCGCCAGAACCTCTTTTAAATTATTTTTTTTTTTTAAATTTTAATCAAATCTGTTCTTTTGTCTTTACGGTAACATCTGTTTTTTCAATTTTCCTTTTTCCTTTTTAATTTCATTTTCTTTCCTTTCTTTTCTTTTTTGTTTTAAATCCATTATTTTCCTTTCTTTTTCATTCTCTCTTTTCTTTTCAATTTCTTTTTCTCTTTTGTTTTTCTTTTTGAATAATACGTTATGCCACATGTCATCATTTCACTGGTCAACGTCCGTCACGTTATCCGCTTGGATATTTTTCCTTCAAGCTTGTTTTAATCATAACTTTTTCGTTTGAGTTTCGATTTGGGTAATTAAAAAATCTCTGAAATTGTTGTATCAGGCTCTATGATGTGGACACTCCAAAACAACTAAAATTTTCGATAAACAAAATTAGATTTGTTATCATCCAAAATATTAATTAATTTGAGATTAAGGACCAAAAACAAACATGAAGGTGACCTAGATTAATCAACCTTTAAAATAAAAAGATCATAAGAGAGAATAAAATAAAAAAGCTAAGAAGAAGAATAAACCTCGAATTGTGGTGGGAAATAAGTGAAAAAATTTATTTTATAGTTCTAAGAAATAAAGAGAGAGATTTTGCTACCTATAAATATTCTATGATTAAACACTACTAAATGAGGATGATAAAAACTTTTTATATTCTAATATTTTAAATGTAAAATTAAGTAGAATTTCAAAGGACAAACAGAGAGAAAAAGATAATGAATTTGAGAGAGAGACAAAGGTGAGAATTTAGATATAAGTGGGGAAAGAGAGAGTAAAATATGAGAGACAGATAGTCCAAGGGGAAGAGACGAAGTATGAAGAGAGTAAAAGATAGGTTTGAATGACAAAATTGTCATAAAACTAATAAAGAAAATGTTTGCTAACACAGTGTGTTTTTTATATAGTATATACTATACATTTGATTGATGACCTATACCATTTATAATTAATTCTTCAGTTGAATTATTGTACTAATTAATTACAATTAAAAGTTGATACAATTTTATTAAATACATTTGTTTTGAATTTAACTTTTATAAACTAACAACGATTAATTATTTAAAATTAACTCGGGTTAAACTGGTTGAAAGTTGATTTTGATTAATTTCAATACTCTGCAATTAATTAAAAGCAATGAATCATTGCAAACATGAGCTTAGTTTTTTACGATACAAGAACTTGGTTCACCTTCAAGGATGATGTTGTCAAGATAACGAGGTAGTCCTGGTTTATTATTAATTACCCAATGGAAAACTTAGTAATATTCTCCATAGAAACTCCAATTCGACGAGAGTACTATCATGGAAGCAAAGATTTCATATTGGGGGTTGCTTCTGCTCTTACTTATCTGAATGAAGAATGTGAGAGGCAAATAATTCAAAGAAATTATGTGAAGATTTGCAATATAATTGAAACTTGTTTCTAACCAAGTAGCTAGTCCCCATGTGTAAAAAAAAAAAAAAAAAAATTTAAGACCATTAATTCTTTAGGGTAAAATGTACGTTTAGTCCCTAAAGTTTCAAAAAGTGACCGTTTAGTCCCAACCTTTCGAAAATGGTTCTAAAAGGTCCCTAAAATTAAACTTTTTTTAGTGCGACCAATGAAATGCTGATGTTATTCACAGAAAACTGACGAGGGTTATAAAATGGATGTTTATTAAATTTATATTATTTTTTAAACTTATGTACAAAATCAATTGTCAAACTTAATAAATTGGAAGGAAAATTCTAAATCAGTCCAATTCTTCTCGTATTTACCCCTTTCCACTTTCTTCATCCTTGCTATGGCTCCCTAGCTACAAGAACATTCTCCCCAGACATGGCTTCATTTCCATCCTCGTCTCGGAATGTCGGAATTGATGGAACTACCCCTACCTAGAATCTGGATCTTCTCAACTTCACGCTCAATGGGAACCCCCGGTATCCACGTCTTTAGAATTAAATTCGATGTGTTTATGCCAATCAAGAATATTCAACGACCCCAACGAAAATCAGGTGTGGGAATCGATTTTAATTCCTTGACCACTAATTACTTCATCGATGACCGTGGGTTTTGGTCGGGCGACGGCCCGATTCTTAAAGAAATTGGCGGTCTCTCATTTGCTGGGTAAATATACGCTGCATATATAAATTATGTAATACTAGCAAACAGATTAAAGAAACTCTCCTTTGTTGGTTAAATATACACTGCATATATAAACTGTATAATACTAGCAAAAAGATTACAACATAACTGGCTATAAACGATACAGATACTGACAACTTAATAAATACTCAAACTTGATAAATATAGTCGAGACATGCTTCAATAGCGCTGACCTGAAGACAATTATTCGCTCTGCACAAGTTGCCGACAGAATACAGCGATCGTCTTAGTAGGATACAACGACTAACCCCAGTAGAACAATAACCTCAAACTACTCGAATCTGACAGAACTCTTAGATACTTGCTCTCAACAAAAACAAGAACAACACCACAAAAGAAGAGAGAATTCTTGTGAGAGGAAGATGAACTGAAATGAGAAAACTTGATATGTCAAATGAGAAAACTTGATACGCAAAAGGAGGAAAACCACAACTATTCCAACCATGTAAATCTATCACACAAAATTAAACACAGGTAACATTTTTAAATATGTAATTAACACATAAAGGTAAAAAACTTCTCAAAAAACTTAAGTTTAACATCATAATTAAATTCCTCAATTTCATTCAAAATTCACTTTCTTTTGCACATTAAAAATCCAACATCCTTCTCACCGTGCACAATAACTTATTTTTCGGGAAATTTAGAATTCTTTCTTCCAGTTTACGAGTGTGATGATGAATTTTGTAGAGTTTGTTGGAGAAAGAGGAGAGAGAAAGAGGAGAAGTGGGGAGAGATTGAAATAAAATGCCACGTAATTTTAAAAATGATATAAATTTGATCTAGGGATCAAACTGTCACTTTTTGAAATTGAGAAAACCTATCCCCAGACTTTCACGTACTAAAAAATTATTCTGGCATGAAATTACGATAACATTCTCACAAGTAAGTATTTTGAAAAATGTCGATCCACAGCTTAAATTGAAGTGCACCAAAGCAAGGAATTGGAACCATCATCATCGCACCAATCATCATGGGAATTGAAATAGTAGCCTTATTGTAGAGAAGAAAGAAGGTTGCACTAAAGGTGACGAACATGCACACAATGGAGATGAACAGCGAGCTGAGTCCCAAAATTAATTTAGCTGGCAAAGAGTGCAAGAAATCTTCTTCTGTGTAGCGTGAAGTTAGGATAGACAAGAAAATCAAAATAGAAGTTGAGGATGAGATCAAAGCGGTCGCATCGGATAAGATGAACACGGTGAACCAGATGTTTGGTTGAAAAATAGGAGTGCCTGTCTTATCATAATTGCCGGGAATCGTGAAGGCTGCAGCGAAAACTACGGTAGCGATGAGAGTTGAAACAACCATACAAGAGTTTGCTGTGTTTTGCATCCATTTCTCGCCCTCTGTCAGTAGATCCTTGTGTTCTTTCGTGAATAATTGGCGTGGTGTTAACTTGCTTTTTTGCTCTTCAGAGGATATTTGATGTGACGTTATCATTAACTTTTTGTTGTCGTCGAGCCGTAGTAGATCTTCGTGTTCTTCCGTGCATGGTGTTGACTTTTTGCTGTCTTCGCATTTGACCTCGACTAGTAGCTCTTTGTGTTCTTCCTTTTTCGTGTCTTTGCATTTGGCCTCGAGTTGGGAAACTGGAACTACCTTCTCAATTTCATTGAACCAAATCAATTCACGTTGCATTTGAAGAGCTGCTCCGGAGACCTTGTTGAGATGATGAGGAGCAGCTAGTTTGGCAACCAAATACATTATGTCGTTATTATTCTCAGAAGTGTTTTTTACTAGGAAGTCATTGAGCCAACCCACGTCATATAACAGCTTCCACACAACTTCAAGTCGATTCTCAATAGCTATATGAAGTATGGTCGTAGCATCAACATCTTTTTCCCATAAAATCTCTGGGAAAAACCGAAACACCTGAACCAGAAACTCAGCATTTCCTGCCTTTGCAGCCACATGCAATAAATTCGGTTTGCTAATCAACTTTACAACATCCTCGTATGTTGAAAAATACGAAGCATATTCAAACAACGATTGCAGTAATCTAGTAGCTGCTTCCTGCGTCATATCTTTTTTGTACAACCCCTTTATAGCTGTCGTCAAAAACAAAAATTAAAAATTAAAAATTTAGGATGATCCTAATTTGTCAAACATGATCCGATCCATCAAAGCATACCTTTAACTATGCGCACTTTCCAACTGGTTGCGGGCATCCAGCTATCCCTGCCTATTGGTTTTCTGGCCATCACCTCGAATGGAGTCTCGCCATCATCTCCGCTATGGTCACCATTCTTCTTCTTGCATTTCCTAGTCGCTAAATAATTTACGTCCGATTCAAGAATTTCCAAACTTATATCTGATCAGCAGGAAACGCGAGATTAGAATTGTACGAACGAGAAAATTAAATACTTGCGTCGCACATATTATATTATATTGTTTGAGTTACCATATAATTCGCTGTTTAAGGTGGCGTTGAAAATGTGAACCTGTTCTTCTACTGGTAGCTCGTGGAAAATAGTTTTGGACAAGAGGTAGTGAGCCATGTCTCTACGCTTGAACAATACTGCTATGAGGAGGGGAGTTTTTTGGTCTGAGGAGCCACACTTGGATGGAAGATCTTTGTCCATGGCCACCATGAGCCTAGCAATTTCTGTGACTCCTGATGCAGCGGCAAAGCAGAAGGCAGTGTATCCATCTTTGTTGCGTATGATCAAGTCATCCGGCTTCATTTTGTGGAGCAGATGCTTCACGAAACTTGTGTGCTGGGCTTTCACAGCAACATGAAGAATGGTGTCTCCGTTTGCTGTTAACTTAGCGCGAACCAAGTTCTTTTCCTGCCCGGCCTCGTCTATCAGTTTTTTGGCATACGTCCACTGACCATTCAATGCAAATTCTCGTAGAAGAATTTTTCCTCGATCTGTACTTGGTAAAAATCTCGTAAGATTCCAAGTCACCTAACAAAAAGTTTATAATAAACACGGATATCTCCTCCCTTGGTTTCAAAGATCATTTTTTTAAGTGGAAAAGAATAAACCAGAGGCTGACCAAACTTAATTTAACAGAAAATAACATCTATATAAAAAAAATATGAAATTTTAAAAATGAAAAAGTTTTTTATTTTTACCTTCATTCTTGAAGTCCAAGAGCCGACCCGGAAGTAGCTTATGAAACTTTTGAGTAGCTGTGGGTAGCCGTGGGCTGTCGTCGTCGGTAGACGTGGTAGAACGAAATAATCGTCCCATGGAAACCAGGTATGGTTAATTACGTTGCTGCCCTGCGAGATGAATGAACTGCAAAATGAACCGCAGAGTATTTGTAGGAAGCAGATGGAGGTCCTTTATGCCTTCAAAAGTGCAAAAAGGAAAACAAATAATGGAAAAATTATAAGCAAAGAATAATACTTTATTATTATTTTTTCCTTTGGAACTAGCCAAGAATAATACTTAACTTCTTGTCCATAGGTAGGTATATTAGAAAAAATCACACTTGAGAGAGAAAATAGGTTTTTTTTTTTTTTTTTTTTTAAAGAAAATGTTTGGGTACGTACTTATCGATAAGACCTAACTCATTAGTTCTTCACAAGAAAATTATTATGCTTTGTTGATATATAGGTTAGTCATAAATGATTTTAAATTTCAAGATTTTTAAATGATGGAAATAATTTTAAATTCTTAATTGCATTCGGAACAAAATGAATTTTTTGATAACTTGAAATGATGTCGTGTAACCATCCTTAGATGGTGGAGTGAGGGAAAAGCCTCGGCTACGTGCTCCGCGAGGCTTGAATAATACCACCACACTCCTAGTAGTTGAAACCAAATGAATTTCAAATAGTTGAAATTAAAATTTATTATTTGAATGTTGGCCAGAAATGAAAAAGAGATTTACTTGGTGTCCCGAAGTGATATTGTATTAATAATAGTGGTTTTAATAATGAATAGGATGCTAATCCATATAAAAATTAAGTTGTTTAATCAAATGAAAGTAAAAAAATATATATTATTTAATAGATCACTATTATATATATTGGAAAAGGGACATAACACCATTAAAAATAATTTTAATGTAGACTTTTAAAAGAATAAAAAAAAATTATTTTTTATATATTTTCAAATAAAAACAACCTCTTTTTGAAATAATATAAAAATAACATTTTTAAAAACAACTTTTATATATATATATATATAACTTTTCTAAAATAATATAAAAATAACAACTTTTTCTTAAATAATTTTAAAATAACAACTTTCATATAAAAAAATATAAAAAATATAAGTAGTAAAAAAAAGAAAATCAATGCTTAAAGATTTAAATCCCAAGTCATATAAGAAAGAATCGAGAGGCCTACGCTACTAGGCCAAATAATATATTAAATTTGAGGGCAAGCAAATAATAGATATTTATAGCAAATCACGCATACCACGATATTAAGGAAGAATCAAGAGACATACACTATTGGCTCGTTTGGTAACGGTCTCATTTCCAGTTTCTCGTTTTTTGTTCTTGTTTCTATTTTTTTTTTTAGAATTAGAAACAGAAATATGTTTTGTAATCATTTCTATTTCTTATTTGTTGGAAAAAAGATATAGAAACAAAAATATGTTTGATAACTATTTCTGTTTCTTATTTTCATTTTTTTGCAACATCTTGTAGGTGATATTTGAACCTACTACAACCTATTGACCTAGAATATATACCTTACTCATGTTAACTAATTTTTATTTTTAGTTTGACAAAATTTAGTAAATATAATATAAAAAGATATAACATAGATTCGAAGAATAATATTTATTAAAGAAAATATAATTTAGAATATAAATTTCTTTGATATAAAAGTATCAATTATTAGCTTAAATAAAGACTAAAATTTCAAAATATTTTTAATTTTAAAAATAGAATTTTTTTTGTTTAATAAAATATAATAACTTTAAATGAAGAATAAATTATCAAAATATTGTAAGTTAAAAAATATAAAACATTAAAAAAGGAAAAAACAATGTATCCAAAAAATTTTTAATTTTAAAAATAGATTTTTTTTTGTTTAATAAAATATAATAACTTTAAATGAAGAATAAATTATCAAAATATTTTAAGTTAAAAAATATAAAACATTAAAAAAGGAAAAAACAATGTATCCAAAAAATTTTAATGTTAAAAATAGAACTTTTTTTGGTTTAATAAAATATAATAACTTTAAATGAAGAATAAATTATCAAAATATTTTAAGTTAAAAAATATAAAACATTAAAAAAGGAAAAAACAGTGTATTAGAGAAAATATAATTTAGAACTTGTTTTGATATAAAAGTATAAATTATTATTTTAAATAAAAAATAAAATTTTAATTTAGAAATAGAATATTTTTTGTTCAGAAAATATAATAATTTTAAATAAAAATATACTTTGAAGTAAAATTTTTAAATACGGTCAATTTAAAAAATAGGGAATTTTTTGTTTAAGAAAATATAATAGTTTTAAATCAAAATAAAATTTCGAAACATTTTAGATTATAAAAATATAAAATATAAAAAAAGAAAAAAAATAGTAAAATATTTGTAATTTAAAAAATAGGAAATTTTTTATTTAAGAAAATATAATAGTTTTAAATCAAAATAAAATTTCAAAACATTTTAGATTACAAAAATATAAAAAATATGAAAAAGGAAACAAAAAAAATAGTAAGTTGCGTGACTTGGTGGTCAAACACGGTACTTTTCATATAATGATAATCATATACACTAGAAGACCATTGAATGCGCTTTTAAAACTTGAGACAAATATATTATTTAAATTAAAAAAGCGTCTGGACACAAAATAAAGAAACAGAAACGGCAAAAACGAAACTACTTTTCGTAGTTTCAAAAAATTGGTCCATTTTTTGGAAACGTTTCTCAAAATTTAGAAAGAAGAAACAAGATTGGTTATCAAACATGTATGTTTCTCAAAAGATGAGAAACAGGAACAAGAAACATGAAACGAGAACGTTAACAAACGAGTCTTATGATGATAGGTGAAAAAGTTGTACATCTAAACTTCTAATTTTAAAAATTAAACTCTTAAAATTTGGTTAGAAATATCTTTTTTTACTATCTCCTCTCTTTCTACTTTCTCTCCTTGTTCTTCCTCTCTCTACTTTCTATTTCTAAAAATTAGATAGTTTTTTTTCTTGATCATCGTGATCAAGAATCATTGAATTTAAATTGAGAGTTGAAAAATGGAAATGAAATTGGGGTAAAAATAGGGAAAAAAAATCTTAAATTTGTTCCTACTTGGTGTCAAAATCGCACTTTAATGGAACTCGAAAACCGATTGTGTGACACTTCTTCCGCCCACAAGCAAGTTAGCCAATAAGAAATCGGATAGTCGGTGGCACAACAGCTATATGTTGCGACCTCCACCCCCATTCTCGGGAAAATGGTTTTGGAAAACAGGGTTAGAGAAAAAGATTTTGGAAAATGTTTGAAAACATTTTGGAAAGTTTGTTGTATGCTTGAATGCAAGAGAATAGATTAGCGGCAAGACAATATTACAATGCAATGTAGGGAAGATGACTAGGCGTTCCCCCTATGGTACATTCTATGGCATATTTGATCTGACAGTGTGTACGTGCAAAGTGGCGAGGAGTCACTCGCCACCAAAAGTACAATGAAAAGTAAACAACATACAAAACTAAATACATAACATAAAAGTATGTGGAAAGAGGTAGTTATGGGCATGCGACCACAGGCAACAGGCCTTGGACGAACATGACCATGCATGACATTTTCCCCCACTTAAAATGATTGACGTTTCTGTCAAACCATTGCTGCTCGAACTCTTCAATCTCTGCTACAGTTGTCTTCAGGTCTTCGACACGCTCCCAATTGATCTCTTCATTTGGAAGTCCTCTCCACTTGACTAAGAATTCATGTACGTCTATCCGTGGTTTTCCCACTCGGCTTGTTTTATTGGCGAGGATTAACTCAACTTCTTTGTCAACCTTGTTTGTCAATGTGACCGCTGGATGAGTTACCTCATTTTGTGTGGGGTCGATGGTATCCGGATGGTAAGACTTCAGGTTGCTCACATGAATCACTGGATGTATTTTCATCCACGAGGGTAGTTGTACCCTATATGATGTCTTGCCCACCTTCTGAAGGACGTTAATTAACCGGTCATTCGTATTTCAGTACAAGGCGCTGGTCTTTGTTCCCCCGGAAGCAAAGTTGTTCAGGTCTCAGCTTCACAAGAACTTGATCTCTTGCTCGGAACTCTAAAGGTCCGTGCTTCTTGTCCACACACTTTTTCATGTGTTTAGACGTCTTCTTGAGATATGCTCGAGCCACTTGTGTTGATTGTCGCCATTCTTTGGTGAAGTGGTAATCTTGAGGGCTCTTTCCCACATAAGGGTGATCAACAACATGATGCAACACAGGTTGTCTCCCACATACGATTTTAAAAGGGTGTTATTCTAACAATTGAAACATAACTGAGCCACGTCAAACATTTGTATCCAGTTATTTTACCGAGCGTCAATAAAGTGGCAGAGGTACTCTTTTAGCATACTGTTGAAACGCTCTATTTGACCATCTGTCTGTGGGTGATAGCTCGAAGATATGTTCAAATTAGAGCCTAGTAGGTGAAAGAGTTCTGTACAGAATGTCCCTGTGAATCGTCTGTCAATATCGCCCACAATGCTTTCAGGGACTCCCTATAGTTTCACAACGTTTCTGAAAAATAATTGTGCAGTCATTTCGGCCGAGCACATCTTCGAAGTTGGGATGAAGATCCCATACTTAGAGAACCGGTCGACTATCATGAGGATTGCTTCTGTCTCCCCGAGTTTTAGTAGGTGGGTGATGAAGTCGAGAGACATGCTCTCCCATGGTCTTGATGGAACTGGTAGGGATTCTAGCAGGCCCGCAATCTTGGTTCACTCCACTTTGTCCTGTTGGCATATGAGACACATTTTAATATATTGCATCACGTCGTCTCTCAGATTGGGCCAATAGTAGCCTTTCTTTAGCAGGACATATGTTCTCTGCTACCCAGCGTGTCTTGCCCACATCGTGTCATCACACTCTCCCAGTAGGAACTTCCTCAAGTTCCCAGAACGGGGAATGTACAAACAGTTGCCTTTGGTGAAGAGGATGTCATTCTCGACCCAAAACTGCCAAGTCTTCCCTTCGTTGGCCAACTGAATAATCGCTTGAGCAGCTGGATCGTTATGTAAGTTCTCTTTGACGGTTTCACGAATGGATCCTGTCAATTTACTCACTTTCAAGTGAGCTAACATGCACCGGGTTGCAGGTTCACTCTTTCTACTGAGGGCATCTGCTGCTTGGTTCGCCCAACCTTGCTTATGTTCAAACTGAAAATCAAATTCGGCAAGGTATTCCTGCCATCTAACTTGCTTTGACGTTAACTTTGGTTGGTTGAAGAAGTGGCAGATTGAACTGTTGTTAGTCTTGACGACGAATTTGGCCCCTAGGAGAACCGTTCAAACTCCTTCCTTACTATCCTCTGTACATTAAGAAAATGGTTTGTGGGAACCATCTTAAAACTGAGAGGGGCATCGAGAGATTGATAGAGATGTTCGCTAGAGTTTTCAAAACTCATTCAACAGACGACCGAGGAACCTAAGAGAAAAATGGGAGAACCTCCATTTTAAAAGGGAGCAACTTCCCCACTCACCACCTCCTGGTGGGAAGTGGGGGCGTTTCCTCCATTTTTTCTCTTAAACAAGACTTATAAAGCAATTGTGTGACACTTGCTTCCACCCACAAGCAAGTCAGCTAATAAGAAATCGGATAATCGGTGGCACAATGACTATATGTCCCAACCTCCACCCCCAATCTCGAGAAACGGTTTTGGAAAATGGGGTTAGAGAAAAAGGTTTTGAAAAACGTTTGAAAGCATTTTGGAAAGCTTGTTGTACGGTATGCTTGAATTCAAGAAAATAGATTAGTAGCAAGATATAAATATAACGCAATAATGTAGGGAGGATGACTAGGTGTACATGCCCTATAATACATTCTAAGGCATATTTGATCTAGCAGACATGTACGTGCAAAGTGGCGAGGAGTCACTCGCCACCAAAAGTACAAGGAAAAGTAAACAACATACAGAACTAAATACATGACATAAAAGTATGTGGAAAGAGGTTGTTATGGGCATGCGGGTACAAGCAACATGCCTTGTGTTACAAAGGCGAATTTCAGAATATTAGTGGCTTGGTTGACCGGACCAAGACCACAAGCATAAACGATGGGAAGGATCGACGTGTGACAAAACTGGTGACCGGAGCCAAGGTTGCACGACATT